GAATTTTGGAAAGCTAGCCTATCTGTGAAAATGGGACTAGGAACAATCCCATCCACTAGCCCGGGAAAGTGTCAATAGATCTTGAAGTTAACCAGGAGCCTGGGTGGAAAATATATAACTCATGGGAAATCAAATATAAGGTTATAGAGTCCAAATTTTCATTACCTTTCTCTTACAGGAAACCAAAGTGATAAATTAACATTAAAAATTATCTAGGATTAGCCAGGTATAGTAGTCCATGCCTATAGTCCCAGCTACTAGAGAGGCTAAGGCAGGAGGATCACTTGAGCACAAGAGATCAAGGCTCCAGTGAGCTATGATGGCACCACTGCACTCCAGCCTCAGCAACAGAGCAAGAACCTGTCTCTAAAAAAGAAATTAAGGCATGGCGTGATGGCTTACATCTGTAATCCCAGCATTTTGGGAGGCCAAGTGGGGAGTGAATCACTTAAGGCCAGGAGTTTGAGACCACCTGTGCAACATGGTGAGACCCCATCTTTACTAAAAAATACAAAAATTAGCTGGGTATGGTGGGGCATGCCTGTAATCCCAGCTACTCAGGAGGCTGAGGCAGGAGAATCACTTGAACTCCAGAGGACGAGGTTGCAGTGAGCTGAGATTGCGCCTCTGCACTCCAGCCTGGGTGACAAAGCGAGACTCTTTCTCAAAAAAAAAGTAAATAAAAATAGGCCAGGAGCAGTGGCTCATGCCTGTAATCCCAGCACTCTGGGAGGCAAAGGCAGGTGTATCACTTGAGGCCAGGAGTTCAAGACCGCCTAGCCAATGTGGTGAGACACTGTCTGTAATAAAAATACAAAAATTAGCTGGGCATGGTGGCACATGCCTGTAATCTCAGCTACTCACGAGGCTGACGCCCAAGAATCGCTTGAACCCAGGAGGTGGAGATTGCAGTGAGCCTAGATTGCACCATTGCACTCTAGCCTGGACAACACAGTGAGACCCTGTCTCAAAAATAAATAAATAAATAAAATACAAAATAAACTAAAAAAAAAAAAAAAAAAATTGGGCCAGGCACGGTAGCTCACGCCTGTAATCTCAGCACTTTGGGAGGCCTAGGCAGATGATCACTTGAGCCCAGGAGTTCAAGACCAGCCTGGGCAAAATGGTGAAACCCTGTCTCTACAAAAAATAATACAAAAAATTAGGTGTGGTGGTGCACCCCTGTAGTCCCAGCTACTTGGGGGCTGAGGTGGGAAGATCATTTAGACCCAGGAGATGGAGGGTGCAGTGAGGGAGATTGTGCTACTGCACTCCAGCCTAGGTGTCAGAGTGTCTCCAAAACAAACAAAAAAAAAATTGGTCTAGGATTTGTGGACTCTAGGACTGAAGTAGAAGCAAACTCAAAATAGTTTTGCAGTGATACTTTGACAATTCAGAGCACAAAGGAGTCACCACCATCACCTTCCAAAAAAATGAAACACTAAGGTAACTTTACAATAAGAAATTATTAACTACACAAGGAAGCAATCTACCTCGAGGGAGAATTGGCAGACACAACAAACAGGGAGAAGCAGTATTTTCACCGTCTGGAGAAAATATAGCAATCTATAAGATTAAAATAGAAGTATGTTTAAAATAATTAAAGATACTGAGACAGCCAGGTGGGAGAGGGTCCCTGGCAAAACTCTAACTGACTGGCACACTGGGGCAGAGCCACAGAAGTTCACCCCATTTTCAGGTGGAAGGAGCCTAGCCCCTCCTCTTCCTGTGTGTGGAAACTGGGATTCAAGCTGTGAGGCGAGAAGCACACCAGAGGAACTCTGGCCTCGTGGAGAGTCCCTGTTTCTCCCTTTATTTCCTTTTCACCCAGTAAAACCCTATCTTACCCTTCAAACTATCTGCGAGTCTGAACTGGCCTTGTCCCTGGCCATGGGACAAGGACCCCATCTTTAGCTGAACTAAGGAAAAATCCTGTAATGATATCATCATGAAAGAACAATGGGATGTGAAAAGAATAGGCAGAGAGAGAGAAAGACCAAATATAACTTTTAGAAATGAAAACCTGTTTAAATATCAGATTCAACACTGAATAGAGAATTAGCAAACTGGTGGATAGATTTGAACAAAGTACTCACAATATAACTCAGAGATAAAGAGGTGGAGATTCATCAAGAAATAGAAGCAGAAACAAGGATAAATGGGTGAGAAGGTTAATGTTCTATGTATCTAGCATGTCTAACATGTCAAAGACAAAGTGCACCAAGAAATTAAGGAGATGATTTTACTCAGTCTATAGCAATAGATGAATGTTCATTAATGAGGAATGTTTCAGTGAAAAGGAAGGGAACCTGGGTTTGCAGAGGCAGGTAAACAAGAGAGTCGTCGAGAGTCTAACTGAGTCATGAGGAAGGATGGAGATGTGTCTTATATCAGACTATACAAGGGCAGGGTGCCCTTTGAGGTTAGCTGTTTCCAGAATACAAAAACGAGGGTAGATTTCTTAACCATCCCTGCTTTCCAGAAGCACAGATTTCAGATGAAGTTCAACATTACCAAATAGGAGTTCCAGAAACACAAAGTAGAAAGAATAGAGGGTATCTGAAAAAGATAAAATCAGAAAAATGTTTAGAATTAAAGAGAGACATAAGTCCTCAGAATGATGAAGTACATTGGGTCTCAAATAAAGTTAAGCGAAACATGAGTCATACCTAGATACGATAGAAAAACTACAAATATAAAGAAATATTAAAATGTCATTAATCAAGAATATTTTTCTTGCTCTTTTTAAAAAATCTTGCCACAATTTGATTACTGGTTTTATACAGTTAAGGTTATATTTTTTATTGAAATTAAGAAGTTAAGCAAAATCAAAATCAGTTATTAAAATAAGCCTTGGAACTCACATCGCTAGTAAGTGGTTGAGTTGGGCCTTCAAGCCACATCTTCTGATTCAAAATACTATTTATACCATTTTATTCTAGTGATACCATGAAGCCTATAGCACCTCCTTCTCAATTTAGTATGTTTCATTTAGCCTAAGGAAAAGATTGAAGGTTGTTGCAACTACATATACTTTATATTTCTTCCTAAGTGTCACAATTGAGTACAATTAGAGTTCAATTTCTCTTTACAATGGATGTTCTCAGAGGGTAAACAGAGAAAGAATGTATGCACTCTTTAAGCAAAGCTTTATTTTTCTCTATATGTCAGCATGCAAAATCCCCTAGCAACATTTGACTTTAATACTTACAGAAATCAGATTGGTCTCCCTTGTTAGAGTGGGCATATTGATGGCCTGTGTTATTTCCTCTATATGGGGTTCCAGCTGTGTTGTCAGTCAGCAGTACCCCTTTCTGAGGGCTGAAGAGCATCTTTTTGAAAGCATTGCCCTAAAGCTGCTGCTGCCACTCCTACTATGCTCCAAATCATCAGCTTTCTAATGTGCCCTGAGAACCCTGGGCAAAGGGACAAAAAAACATTATTTTAGACTTCAGTTCAGTTGGGGATCAGAAGTTGTATGGAGCCACTGAGTGGAGGCATTTAATGTATTCATACAATAAATGTTTGAACACCTGTTATGCGCTCACATTGTGCTAGGCACTAGGGATCTGCTATCAAGAGACAATCCCTATCCTCATGTAGCTCACAGATTAGGCTGGCAAACTGACATTTAAAAATACTGTAACTACACAAGTAACTCAGCCTCCTTTTCATCTCTTGCTAACCTTGATGCAGGACACAGCATCTCTCTCCTTTCCAGTAAATAAATAGACAATCTGTTCTGCACCAAAAGCATTAATGAACTGCATAGGTGTTGACCAAGATTTTGTGTAGTAAACTTCTACACAAAAAAATCTTACAAAATCTCCTATACAAATCCTATGGGAAACTCCCACACAAAATCTTACAAAATCTCCTATACAAATCCTATGGGAAACTCCTACACAAAATCTTACAAAATCTCCCATACAAATCCTATAGGAAGCTCCTACACAAAATCTCCTATATAAATCCTATAGGAAACTCCTATGCAAAATCTCAGCCTGACATCCCCAATTCTCTTTGGAAGTATCTGGTCTCCAAGCTGGATTCTTCTTTGCCCTGGACCCGTTTCCCAACCTTGTGGTCTTGTGTCTCCCTCTCCTGTTTTTTCCCCCTGGAAATTTTGTTTTCCTGTAGCGCCACCCTGTCCCCTTCCTGGTGAGCAGTTCAGCTCTGCCTGGGAGTTCACCTCCAGCCTTGCATACTGGTACCACTTTGGGGCCCTCCAGCAGCTGGAACCCACCTCCTCAGAAGATGGTATGTGTGTTTGGGGGTGGGGAGTATAAATAACATGGAAATCAGGTTGTGCTGCACTTACATAGGGAGTAATTATAATTGTGTTTATTTGATAGAGGGAGGCACAGGTGCCAGGAGACTGAGTAAGAAGTGAGCGTGTGAGACAGCTGCTCGCCAGCCGCATCAGGCCCTGGCCCCTGAGTCAGCCTGTGTCTAATTAGGAGCAGGCTTCAATCGCCGTCTGAATAATTCTCTGGGATTGAGTTTCTTCCTGAATGACTCGATTCACACTGGATAAGAAACTGTCTCTCTCCACTAGGAAGTGGAATAAAACAACTGACTCACATTTCACGCTTCCGTTTTTGCCAAGTGGAGATGATAATGTCTCAGTTACTCAGATGTGGGCTAGAGCTGAATCTGCTTTTTATAACTGACTGATTTAGCAAGGAAGTGAAAATCCAGGTACTGAGATGGAGAAGGGACCCCTTTTAGGGGTCTGTGGGCTCCCCAAGCATAGAAATAAAGGAATATCTTGAGCTCCTTCAAGGGAAATTCCAGACGCCTAGCTAGCCCTGAAAGTGAATCAGCAGCTTGATAAACAAGAAGGTAATGGTAGTCCCAGCTACTCGGGAGGCTGAGGCAGGAGAATGGCCTGAACTCGGGAAGCAGAGCTTGCAGTGAGCCGAGATCGTGCCACTGGACTCCAGCCTGGGCAACAGAGCGAGACTGTGTCTCAAAAAAAAAAAAAAAAAAAAAGGGTAATGGTAGCCCGAAATGAAGAAGGTAATGGCAGCCTGAAACAATAGCCAAGGAACTGATAGTCCCAAGATGTTTGGTTCCCTATAAAAACTAAAGATAACATCTTAACATATGTACCTGAGTTATTTTTCATAAACCTGGACCTCCAACAAATGGATACACTGGCACGTAGACCTCAGGTAAGGGAGAACTGAGGACTGAATTCTGACAACCATTCTTTGTTCTAGATTTCTTCCTGAGGGTCCTGGAGGAAGTCACACCCATGAGCCAGAGCTAACATTCTTTCTGCTGACCATAAATTATTAAACAAAGCTTCTCTTCTTTAACCAATTGCAAATCAGAAAATCTTTGAACCTGCCTATGACCTGTAAGCTCCTGCTTTAAGATATCCCACCCTTTCAGGCCATAACCCATGTGTAGCCTCCATGTATTGATTTATGATTTTGCTTGTAACTTCTGCTTTCCTGAAATTTACCCCTGTTTTTAAAAACCCTTACTTGCAAGTCATTGGGGAAGTCAGGACATAAGCTTTAGCTGCCAATTCTCCTTTCTTGGTGCCCTGCAAATAAATACCTTCCTTTCTTGCCACTTCAAACCTCAGTGTGGATGTCTGGCCTTACTGTGCCAGGCCAGTGGAGCCCAGTTTGATTCTATAATAGTACCATGAAGCCAAGGGAGCCATAATGAGTCAAGTTCTGGGTCCTAGCCTCCACATCAAGTCTTAGAGTGGGATTATTCCTCAACCAGGTGGTCTGGTCTCACTCTAGACAAGGCCTATGAGGTCCTGTGGGTTCAGAAGACCCCTCCCACCAAGGCCCACCTTTCCTGGATACCTTCTGAAGGAGGTAAAAATTCTAGGTATCCTTTAAACACCTATGATGTCCTAGACCCACACACAGAGCATGATGCTTTAGAGACCATTGGTGGATGCCACTTGTAGATACTGGAAAAGAGAGTTTAAGAACATATGGCAAAGACTAAATTCAAAGACTAAGCTGGGAACAAACCTGACCACCATGGCCAAAAGTAGGAACAGTCCCCAGATCTAGAGAACTGGGCACTTCAGGTGCCCAGGACCTGTGGTATTTGTGGAGAGGTGAGGACTTTGACCTGAATTTATGTGTGTATTAGTTCATTTTCACATTGCTATAAAGAACTTCCCTGAAACTAGGTAATTTATAAAGGAAAAAGGTTTAATTCACTCACAGTTCCACATGGCTGGGGAGGCCTCAGGAAACTTACAATCATGGCGGATGCGGAAGCAGGCACCTTCTTTCACAGGGTGGCAGCAGGGAGAAGAGTGAGCCTGTGAAGGAGGAAATGTCAAACACTTATAAAACTGTCAGATCTTGTGAGAACTCACTCACTATCATGAGAACAGCATAGAGGAAACCACTTCCATGATCCAATCACCCCCCTGTCTCCACACATGGGGATTACAATTTCAGATGAGATTTGGGTGGGAACACAGAGCCAAACTATTTCAATGTGTCTTTGAATTACCAATAGTGATTGAGAAAGGCAGCCAGTAGGATCCTGCTTTTTATTCTCTTAATATTATTTCATGTATAGTCCCCCATGTCATTTCATATTGGAAACATGGTAGTTCTACCAACTATTACCAAAAAAAAAGAAGAAATCCATGATTTATATGCACACAATTGTGCCACAGTACTACTCAGTGTGTCCTGGAAATGTGTCCACAAGATATTTAGCATCATGGTAAGTACATTGGACCACACTGAGGTGACAAATTTTCTTCAGCTGCATTATGATCATCAATAGGGAGTTCACACATTCTCCCCACCCACATGGTTGGTTGCAGGACATGATCTTGTTGTTTTAAAGAGCAACCTGCCAATGAAAAAAATGATCACTTTTGACCCTTTCCCTCAAGATTCAACAAAACTAAGAATTGACAAACTGAAGTCTTTATTGGGTAAAATCTGTAAAATTACAGTGAGCTGACATTTGCTGAGCTTGGAATACATACTAAGAAATACAACAACCATGCAATATAAGCACCTTTATTATCCCTATTTTGTAGAGCAGGAAACCAAACCTTAAAAAAGGTTAAGTAACTAGGCTAGAGTCATCCAGTAAACAAATAGTGGTACCAGGACTCAAATCAAATCTTTCTGGGGTCAAGCCCACATGTATAGCCATTCTGCTCTTTCCTGGGAATGCACGTCGGATACCCTTAGGAATCTTTTCTGATGTTTAGGTTCATAGTGTGTTGGTACTGCACCCTGGTTTTCCTCTCTTCCACAGTGTGCTCTGAGCAAAACAGTTCTTCCCATGATCGAGAGACTCTTTATCAGAATAATTGTATCATGACTACTCTGTTCCCTGGCCCTTCTGTCCTTAATCAAGTCAAGCTAGATAACCATATCAAATAGTGGATTCTGATTTTAAATTCACCACCCCCAGGAAATGGAAAGCCACCAATCTGTTTAGATCAGTGGTCTCCAAACTTTTTGGCACCAGGGATTGGTTTTGTGGAAGAAAATTTTTCCACAGAGGAATGGGGATGTGGGGATGGTTTTGGGATAAAATCGTTCCACCTCAGATCATCAGGGATTAGTTAGATTCTCATAAGGAGCACACAACCTAGATCTCTCAAACGCGCAGTTTACAATAGGGTTCGCGCTCCTATGAGAAACTAATTCTGCTGCTGATCTGATAGGAGGTGGAGCTCAGCCGGTAATGCTCACCTCACCACCGCCCCTTACCTCCTGCTATACAGCCTGGTTCCTAACAGGCCACAGACCAGTACCTGGGGCCCGGGGGTTGGGAACCCCTGATTTAGATGATCCTATAGAAAAATCAGTTCTGCCCAGGCCTGACCCAGCTTGAAACCTGAAGTGGATGAAGGCACAGGCCTGAGGTAACATACCGTTTAGAGTCACTAAGATGTCTTTAGAACCCATCAGAAGTTTCTCAGTGAAGTCAAAAGCATCCTCATGTGGAATAAAAGAAAATGCTTACCATGGAAGGAGCCCTTCTGTGATGTTCATTGGAACTGTAAGGTCCTCTGAGCTGGCCACACATGGTCAAGCCATCGTGACATTTTCCCCTCCCTTGTGATAATGTACTTTGTGATATTCCCCATCCTTGTGAATGTACTTGGTAACATTCCTCCCCACCCTTGTGACAATACATCCTCCATGCCCTTGTGAATGTACTTTGTAACATCCATCCCCTACCCACAAAAAATTGCTCCTGACTCCACCGCCTATCCCAAACCTATAAGAACCAATGATAATCCCACCACCCTTCACTGACTCCTTTCTCGGACTCAGCCCACTTGCACCCAAGTGAATAAACAGTCTTGTTGCTCACACTAAGCCTGCTCAGGTGGTCTCTTATACGGACGTGAGTAACAGGAACTTGAATAACCATAGCTGTGCCACGAACCCTGGGGCCTTCCAGGTAATAATGCCTTAGGTCAGTTGAAATTCTTAAACTAAAGAGTAATTTATTTTATTATCTAAGTTGTAAACCTTTTATATACTTTCCAATAAATTTTCTCTCCCCTCCCCGCCCCTAAAAAGTCATAAAACAAAACTGAAATTAACATTGTAGAAAAGTGAAAAATGTTTTGGCAACGTGAAAGTCCCAAAAAGAACTTTTAAAAACAATTTTAACAAGATTTTATAATTAAATACACATATATTTTCTCTATTCATAGGGACTATAAATGACTTATGATACTGAGTGGTAAATAATGGGAAAATAGTGGCATGAAAAATCACTTCAGACAGGTTAAAATATCGTATTAGATAATGGAAGCCATGTGTTCCAATGTCAAAGGGAGTTAACAAATAGAAATAGGGAAAGGTGAGAATCAACACTGTGGTTGGTGGAGTTGGGGAGGTAATCTCAAAGTATTCTGCCTACAAATTACTTACTAATTACAAATGGGGAAAATATTGATAGCAACTTTCATCATCAGTAATACATTAACATAATCAATAATGGAACAAGCTGATGTTGTGTGCCTCCTGATATGGCGCACAGACTAGGATACAATATCATGCCTGTCGTATTTCTGCCAAAAAATGTATAACCTGAATCTAATTATGCAGAAACTTCAAAGTAAAATTTAAAAATATCTTATAAAATAACTAGCCTTTACTCACAATTTTCAAAAATATATAAGACAAGGAGAGATAAAGAAGCTGTTACACACTATAAGAGACTAAAGAGACATGACAACTAAATTCACAAGATGCTCCTGGATTGGGTCCTGGGCCACGAAAAATAACAACCACAAAAAAAATTACTGGGACAATTAGAGCAATTCAAATCTGAATTTTAGGTTATAGTATTACATCAAAGTTATGGTTTATGATATTGATCATTGTAGTGTGGTTCCGTAAGAAAAGTCCCTGCTTTTAGTATATACAAACTATAAAGAATTTGTGACTAGCAGATTATAATATGTGAAAATTACTTTCAAATGGTTTAGGAAAACATAGAGTGAGTGAGAGCAAATGATAAAGCATATGGAATGAAACATTAACAATTGGTGAATCAGAATAAAGGGAACACAAGTGTTTCTTATATTATTCGTGTGACTTTTTTGAAAGTCTGAAATTGTATTAAAATAAAAATGTTTAAATGTCCTGTCTCACAGCATTCAATACATCTCTTTTAAGAACATAAAGAGTGTATACTTTCTTTTTGCTGCTGTCACACACACATTAGCTTAAAACAACACAAATGTATTATCTTACGTGCCTTTTTCAGCTTCTAGAGGCTACCTGCACTTCTTGGCTCATGGCTCCTTCCTTACCTCACTCTACCTCTACCTCAACCTCACATCTCCTTCCCTGATCCTGACTCTTGCCTCCTGCTTATAAGGACCTTTGTGAACACTTGTGTATAAGCCACAGAATGGTTGGCTTGAACCAGGGGTCCCCAACTTCTGGGCCACAGACCGGTACAAGTCCATGGCCTGTTAGGAACCAGGCTGAACAGCATGAAGCGAGTGGTGGGCCAGCCAGCATTACCGCCTGAGC